TAATAATTCAATTACTTATATTATAAAATTATAAAAATTTTCAAATGACCCAATAGGTCATTTGGATTTTTAAATGATCAATGACCAGTCATTGGTCATTGGGGTCATTTGGATCATTTCAAGTCATTTACCATCACTGCGCATGCTCTATCTTTTAATAACATAAAGAGAGTTTAATAAATAATAAAGATTATAGAATATAGATATTTACAAAGAAATTAGAAAAAGAATTTTATTGTTGATAAATAAGAGAAATTAATTAAAATATTTGAATATTGATAATTAAAAGAGAATATTTTGAAAGAATTTATAAAGGAGACACCAAAATATATTACAGTTACTTTAAATAAAGAGTTTTTTCACTTTTAGTAAAAGAATCATATGAATTGGAAGAGAGAAATAGATTAATAAATTGATCAGTGCAAAAATAAGTATCTAAGTCTGTGCTGATTTTGACAAAAATTGTTAAATAATTCTATTAAAAGATAAGAAAAAGGAGTTAAAAGAGTATGTTTGAAAAATAATTAAACAAATAAGGATTACTAATTAAAACAAATATTTTCAATTTCTTCAAAAATTATATTCAGTAATTTGATTTGAATAAAAATATTACCATTTGATTTATCTAGTCAAGATAAATCAAATAGCAGTATTTTTGTTTAAATCAATTCACTGGATATCAAAAATTAAATCCTTGAATATTGAGATATATACATTCATTTATAGTTACATTTATAATCACATCTCTCTACAATTATTCTATTTTGCTTTCACATTTTTATATATAAACATAGTTACAAAAATGATGACTATAAGAAATTTGATTATATAATATAAAATAACTGATTGTATTTGGAACATGAGCATTGTGTTTATATATTCAATAGACATAATTGATCACTTTAAGTAATGACAATAATAATTTCAGTATACGTAAATTAAGAATAAATGTACGTATTTGTTATTTGTAACAACTGTTATTTGTAACAGCCGTATTTTAATTGGCTAATTAGAACCCGAGTTAGGATTAGGGTTGAGATTCTGGATATGTGATTGGTTAATATTAATATTAAAGTTGTTACAATTAGATTAACACTTTTTATTATCGTTAGTTTCATGTGGAATAAGTTTTCCGAGTCGGCTATAACGATAATTGATATTCCTATTTTCGGGTTTCTGGAGAACAATGACAAAGGACTAGTATTTAATTGGCACAATGCATAAATTGCGTCGACTAATGCACGATTCCAACGGCCAACGTTCGGTCTTGTCATACATTAAAAAAAAGTTTAACACATGTGCAAACGAGATTTTCCTCTGGCGTCGACAACGTATGCTTTTTTATTTTGTGTTTCATATATTGCAGTCCCAAAAAAGGATAATAAATATAATCAAATTAAAAAAAAGAGATAAAAAGATGACGGAAAAAAAAATATTTCTCTATTCCTTATTACCGAATTTTGTTGTTTGAATACACTTTCATTAGAGTAATTATTACTTACTTTTCTCACCTAACATTCATTCACCAACAATTCGGTCAAAATCATCATCACTCCTTAAAACAACTTTGAAAGTTGAAAACACCTTACCCTTATTTCCATCTTTTCTCGACTTATAATTTCGCTTCTTTAAACAATTCGTTTTTAATCTCTCAAAATCCGGTTTTATAATTTGTACATAATAGAGAATATTATTGACTAATATTTAGTATTACTACCTAATTTCCGATAACAAATAATAAATGGCAATTTCCAAATTTTCAATCCGTAAAATTTTCACTGTTGGTTTAGTCGCGCTGTTGGCATGTGGCGAATTGCTTACTTATGCGGCTCCCGCACAAAATAGTGATACTTCCCCGGAATCATCGTCGTCGTCGTCGGCACCAACAACCCTAGTGTCGACTGAAGACAAAGCCCAATTCAAAATTTGGGTAAAATATGCTAGGTAGCATCATTCATTGTGCGCGTGAGAAAATCAAGAAACTCGACAAAAATAACGTTAATTATTTCTTAATATTATTAATAGCGCCGCGTATTGTAACGTTGAGGGATGGAATTGTGGTTCTGCTTGTCGAGGAGAAACTGCGCAAACACGTTTAATTCGATACTTTGATGAAACGGTGAATAAAGCCTATGGTATTATTTAGCATTTTTTACTGGATTAAAACTTTCTTTTGTTTTCATATCAAATTAAATTCGATTATTTTCATATTAGTTGCCGTTAATGATCAACAGAAAGCAATTGTCGTGGCATTTCGGGGTGAGCAAAAGAAAAATTTGAAAATTTATAAATTATTGATTGCTAATTCCAATTTCTCACCATAACCCTTTAGGTACTGCTGATGTTGATGGATTCTTAGAAGACTCGCAATTTCTTTTCACCGATTATCCTGGAGCTGAAGGCGCCAAAGTCCATGCTGGGTATATATATATAATTTTAACCTCATTTTATCTTTAAAATTCTTGTATTAAAAATTCTTAATTTTTTAGGTTCCTAAACATTTTCCAAAATACTAACAAAAACATTACGAATTTGGTGAAAGAAATTGTCCCAAAAAATCCCGGGTATAAAGTGGTTTTGACTGGTCACAGTCTTGGTGGAAGTGAGTATAATTTTTTTTAACTTTGAAAACCAATAGTACTTTTATAATAATATTTTCTTTCTTGTATGTACTTCTAGCGATGGCCGTTTTTCAGTTATTGGAATTTGTCAGCATTCCTGGGCTTTCTCGCGACAACCTATTCGTTTACACTTATGGTGAACCGCGTATAGGTAACGACGTCTTTGCGAAATATGTCGAGAAGCAAGGAATTAATATTTTCCGTATCGTCAACAAGAACGATATTATTCCTCATGTACCGCCGAAAGCGCTTGCGTATATTCATCATTCACCAGAGTATTGGCTTCAACCGTAAGTATAATTTATGATTTAAATATATTTTGAAAACAATTTGCGGAAAGCTAATAAAATGTTTTGTTATATAGAAAAAATAATACAATGGTGAAATGCCCAGTCGCCGAAGACATAAACTGTAGTAACTCAGTGGTGCCAAATATCAATTTAATCAATCACTTTAATTATTTTGATACAGCATTCGTGCTTACATGTCTTGTCAAAAAATCCTAGATGAAGTGGAAACTAGAGTGTATATAGATCGAATTAATTCATTTTTTTGGCATTGCAAAATAGACTCTTAACTACTGTATACATGTCCATGCAGATATATAAAGAGTACCGATACGGTTTAATATTTATCATGAGAATAAATATTTTTTATTTTAATCTGTGAAATGAAGATTCACGAAAATGAATTGTTTTTTCGCATGTTTTGATCCTTATTTATGATTTAAAATTAAACTTTGATAACAATAAAATTATTCGTGATTCTAGTGATTTTATCGGCCCAAAAAACCACCAGCTTGACCTCAAAGCCAAGCTATGGCAAACCTGATTTGTATTTAATACAGAATCAAAGCTCAAGCCATGGTTTGAGCCGCAGCTAATAAAGCTGGCTTGTCTATTATATCCAGTAAGAAAAAGCTTTTGTAAATGCCGCTGAAAATGAATCATTACGCAATTGCCATTTAGGCGGCATTATCGTTATCGTTATCGTTATCGTTATGAATAAAACAGGTGAGCTCTCTATATTTGGAAATCCATACACGTAGTCAATTGAACATCACTAAGATAATAACGTGGCATAAAAACGAGCATATATTTCAATTAAAGTTACGCCCAACGTGGGGGTCGAACCCACAACCTTGAGATTAAGAGTCTCACGCTCTACCGATTGAGCTAGCCGGGCTAGTTGATGTTAATTAGTCGTTTTTTAAAATTTTATAGTATAATAGTATCTAATAATATATTTTTATTAAAAAATACTTTTTCGTTATCTGAAGTTGAAAAGTTTTGATCACAAAATTGTAAAAAATTTGGACACACTACTTATACCAAATTTATTGTATTTAATATATTTATATGTTTTCCAAATATATCATCAAACTATTAAATTTAACCGACTAAATATACATAAGTTTAAATAGCATACATACATGCATATTATTTAAGCATCATCTTCATTTTCATGACCTTGATCTCTCAGAGGTGTCACACCATAAACAGTAGACGATGATTTACCCTTTTTCAGTATGCTCTTAGGCTTAATAATAGTGGTAGTGGGGACGCTCTCTTTCTTCACAACAGGTTTCTCGCTACTAACATCAGTTGGGGCTGCTTCACCTCCGCCTCCATCTTCTAGCCATTTAGCATATTTCTCTAAACGAGCTGCTTCCTCCTCTTCAGTCTCGTTTGCTCGGGATGTGGTCTTTTTGAATTTTTGCTTTCCGTCGTATATTTCTGCTTCGATACGACGTCCGCTGAAAAATCTTCCGTCATTTTTCTGAAACATTACAAGTAGTAAGCTAGTTTTAAATCTCGAAATATACTTTAAATCAATATGAGAAAAGACGGTAGGCTACCAGGATACAAGCTTCAGCGCTAATTTTCTCTTTGAATTTAATTACTACGATACCATCAGGCTCTTGCTATAAAATAAATAGTATTTTCAGCGAGAATTAGAATTAAATGAAAATTAATTAATAAATCGTCCGAGAAACTTACATCATATAGAACAACATTTGTGACTTCCCCCAAAGTTTCACATTCTGAGCGAATGTCTTCTTTCAACTCTAACAATAACCCAGGGTCCTCCTATAACATACATTCGGTATTTACTCTATAAATCATAATGAAAAATGTCAAACAAGAAAATCGATTTGTTTTATTTGATACCTCAAGTTCTTCCAAAGTAAACATATGTTTCAATACAACCATTTTACTAGAGCGTTCACTACGCTTCCCAGTTTCTTCATCGAACCATTCCAATTTTCTAGAAATCAATTAATTTATTGGCCATTATATAACAAAAATTCAGAATAAAATACAGAATAAAATACTTACTTGCCGAGTTGTTGAATCTTTTTTTGAATCTTTCGTTTGTCGACCTTATTGGTTTGAGCAGCATTGCTATTCTGTTGCTGGCTCGCTTCCGTTGGTTTTATCTCCTTCTCTTTAAATTCAGCCTATTTTTTGTGTCCAACAAGCAGATATAATGGGAATTATATTCAGATATTTTTTCAAAAATATCGGATGAAAAACACGACAAACCATTTGCACGTTAATTTTTGTCTTCTCATCCGGACGGAATTCAGTATCATCCAATAATTGACAGGCAAGTGTTACTGACTCTTCCTTTAAGTAAGTAACGAGTGCATCTCCTTTTAAGACATCTTGTGAATCCTTGTAAATTTTTATTCTTGGACCACCTATCATCGAAGTGCATACATATATATAGTAATAATAATACATAGTGTATGATAATGATATATATTTATAATATACTTGAAATTATCAATAATAAGGAATATGTAAAAAACCGACTAACCCTTGACATAATCCTCCATCAACACTCCACACTTTGAGAACACCTCCGCAAGTTCTTCCACAGTCACGTCTGTAGGCAAACCAGTGATATAAACAGAAGTATTTGGTTTCTTTTTATTTTGATTATTAGGTTTTTGCTTTTTAGCATTTTGCTCTGTCTAAAATGGTGGATAAATTATTATTATTTATTGTTGTTATCGTTGAATTCATCTTTATGGATGTTTAAAAATTAGTAAAAAAAAGTTACGAACGTCATCATCCATAGTATAGACATTTTTCCGCTTTGCTCGTGGTTTTGGTAAAATCGGTTCCTGTCACCAAAAAACACGCCTCTTTTGAGGAACGAGCTTTTTGGAAGCTCAAGTGAGAATTCAACAGAAAATACAACGCCAAAAAACATACGGCTTCGTTAACACCGGGCACCGAATACGCAGACTGTTGTGCTTCAATCAATTTTTCGTTGTACTTTGTGAAAATAGAGACGTGTTTATTTACTTTATAATTATTCACAAAAAAGAGGAACATAGAATAAAATCCCAAAAGGTTTGTACCATGGGGAACCATGCTTTTTGAATCTCGTCATACTCGTAAGTAACTCCATCGTCACCTGTATATGTCCACTTTTCCGTCTCTTGCACGTAATGCATGCGCGGGTCAGAACTAAAATCTGGTAACGAGAAAGAGGTAGCAACTTCACTACCACCCACACCGCCGACGTTTGCAGCTGGTGGTGTATGATCTGATTTTTGTGAAGAATCGTACTGGGATAGGTGAGTGGCCATTTGTTACAAAGCACAAGATCAAAAGAAAGCAAGTTTATGAAAACTATATACAGTATTGTTGTTATTGATGACGAATCAAGAGTGACAAATAAAATTCCATATATAACGATGTCTTGTCTGTATCTTCTTTTTTCTTTTAAAATAATATAAAAGTTCTTGATATATAATAGGTTTTCCGTTTCATTGTCTTCTGTGTTATAATCCAATACTTTTTAAAGTTTTGCATTCTGTCTGATAGCTTCGTTATGTATAATAACAATGTAAATTTTAATGATTTTATATGGTAATTGAAAGAAATCAATTTCAAAATACTGTATTTACAAGCTCCAAGTTCACAAATTGAATTAAATTTAATACATTAATTGTATTTATAATAGATATTTATTTGTGATTGTAATAAAAAAATTTAATTGACAATTCTTAATAAAAAAATTATATAATTTTTTCTCTTTGAATTTTAATATTGTTATGATATGAATTTTTATTATATTAATTATCTTATATCTTATTGGTTAATTCATATCATAATACTATTGGATAATATTTATTAATATCTTATTGGACACTAGCTAGAAGAGATTCTATTCATTAATATTAGATGATAAAACAAGCAATATAATCATAGCAAAGTTAGCAAAATGATTCTAGCTAAATTAGCAATTTGATTATAACAAAAACAACAATATGATACTAGCAAAACAAGCAATTGGATTTCAACAAAAGTAATAATAGTATCATAATAAAAGTAGTATTCATAAAATTATCAAATCTTATAAAAGCAATATAACTTAGTTAGTAATATAAAATAACTAAACTTGGTTATAACTTAACTTGATAATAATTTTATAATAAAATAATTAGAAGTTCTTGTTTAATAGAACTTTGATAATAATTTAATAAAGTTATATTTGATATTGGTTTTGATTTTGAAAGATGAATTATTACTTTTAAATTATAAAGAAACTTAGTAAAGTTTAGTAAAATTATTGAATATCATTCTAGCTTGTCACAACAAGAACACATATTATTTATTTTTAGTGATAATTTTTAGTTTTTTTCACTATAAAAACTTATTTTAATTACTAGAAATATGTGAATAATATGTTAAGAACTTAAAATCTATAAAAATGGTAACAATAATAAAAAATTTTTATTTCTTAATTAATTTGTAAACTATTTTCAGAAAGATTTATCTGAAAGTAATTTTTTATATTATTATTATATAAGCTTGCTTTATTATTAAAAATAAAATTTTAATAAATTCAAAATTTCAAAATTATTACAAATAAATATATACAAGTTGATATATTTTTAACAAAATATTATAGTTAAATCTTTTTATAGTTATATTTTTTATAATTATTCTATTTTGCTTTTTTGAGAATATTGATTATAAAAAGATTTGATTGTAACTTATTAAAGTTTATTATTATTAAATATTTATATTAAAATTAAATATTATTTTTATAACTAACAAACTTTAAAATTATATATATAATTTTATTATAAAATTAAAGTTTTTGTCTTATATACAGTAACTAATAAAATTATAAAATTACATGTGCAATTTTATTAATAAATATTTGTGATTTTATATCAAAATAAAAATTATAATTTATATTTTAATATATTTTTAATATGAATTTTTTTAGATTTAATCTAATAATATTATTTTAATTGCAAAAATTTTTTATAATTAATAAAATTAAAAAATTTTATTAATAAATTATATATATAATTTCATAATTTTTATTAGTCACTATATAATTAAATTTATTATTTAATAATAATAAATAATTTATATTATTAATATATAATAACTAACAGAATTATAAAAATATGCATATAATTTTATTAATAAAATATAGTAAAAAATGAAACTTTTGTCTTATATTATTATAATATAAATATTTAGTTTTTATTTTATTGGTTAATTCATATTATAATTTAATTGAATAAGATTTTGTTATATTTTATTAATTAAAAATTAATTTTAATTTAATTAGATAATTAATTAGTATTTTATTATTAGTGTTAATATCAGCAATACCAATAATATCAATAATATTAGTAATACTAATAATACTTATATAAATATTAAGTAATACCAATAATATTTGTGATCAAATAATTTATAAAATTAATATTATTAACAAAAAAATTAATCTACAAAATTAGCATTATTAACAAAATTAATCTACAAATTAGTAATACAAGTACTATAAGTAGTGTTCCTATGAACCGAACCGAACCGGACTTTTGCCCGAGTTCGAGTTCGGTTCGAAATTCGAACCGAACT